TTACTCATTTATTGATATCAGATTAATAACATTTGTTTTCTTTCTTTAATTAAAGGCTGTTATTGGCATGGAGATAGATGTTATTTAAACCAGAAAGATTTCAATGAAGTTAGAAAGAAACCAATGAGTGAGCTGAGAGAGGAAACCGAAGCTAACAGCGAATACATCAGAAACGAAGGCTTCAATCTCGTCGAGATGAAAGAATGCGAGTGGCGCAGAATGAAAAGAACAGAACCGGAGATTCAAAGGTTCCTTGAAAACAAATTTAATCGACCACTGGATTATAGGCGGACTCTTACCACAAACGAGATTGTTAACGCTGTAAAAGATGGCTCTCTCTTTGGCGTTGTCGAGGTGGACATTGAAGTTCCCGATGATCTCAAGCCCCACTTCAGCGAAATGTGCCCCATCTTTAAGAACACAGAGATATCTCGTGAGGATATTGGGGAGTTAATGAAAGAATTTGCCGAAGAAGAAGACATCATGCCACGCCCACGGCGAAGCTTGATTGGHAGCTACTTTGGCAAGAAAATCCTCCTTGCCACACCTCTCCTTAAATGGTACTTGGAGCACGGTCTTGTGGTTACCCGTATCTATCAGGTGGTAGAGTATACGCCCAAGGCCTGCTTCAAGCCATTTGGGGAGGCGGTATCAGATGCACGGAGAGCTGGGGATGCTGATCCAAACAAAGCCATCATCGCTGATACCATGAAATTGGTAAGTTATTCGCTTATCAACCAAGATTTACMTTTTTGCAGCTCCTTATTTTCAATCCTTTCATTTTCAGGTGGGAAACTCAAGCTATGGCAAAACCATCACGGACCAGGAACGTCACCGAGATGTCAAGTTTTGCTCTGATGCCAAGGCTTCTAGATTAGTAAACACTCCSTTYTTCCGTCAGATTGACGAAATTGACGAGAACACTTACGAAATCCAGTCTTCAAAGAAAAAAATTAACTTAAATTTACCAATACAAATAGGABTTTTTGTYTATCAATATGCTAAATTAAGAATGCTTCAGTTTTATTATGATTTCATTGATAAATATGTAGATCGCTCTGATTTTCAATACTGTGAGATGGATACTGACAGTGCTTACATAGCTCTGTCTGGAAGAAGCATTGAGAGTTTAGTTAAAGAGGAAATGCGAGAAGAGTTTGAAGAAGATAAGTGTAACTGGTTTCCGAGAACGGATACAGCAGAACATCGCGCCTATGATAAGAGAACACCTGGCTTATTTAAAGTAGAATGGGAGGGACAAGGGATCGTTGGCTTATGCAGTAAAACCTATTACTGTTTTGGGAGTAGCGATAAGTTTAGTTGTAAGGGGGTGAATAAGAAGTGCAATGAAATCACGAAAGATAAATACTTAAATGTTCTTCGCACGAAACAAAGTGCTTCAGGTATCAACAAGGGTTTTCGTTGTGTCAACCATCAAATGTTAACTTACAAGCAAGTTAGAAATGGATTTTCTTATTTTTATCCCAAAAGAAAGGTTTTAGGAGATGGCATTTCAACTGTTCCATTAGATATTTAATTTTGTATTTATAGTCAACATAATTGCATAAACTTTGATTTGATAATTTTCAGTGAACTTCGATGTATATATTTTTTTAAGAATCGAAAACAAAATGTAAACTGAAATATAGAATCTCTCAGCTTCAGATAAATATATATTCTACCTTTTTTATGGATTGTGAAATCTTATTTTAATGATTTATTATGAGGATTGAATAAAATAAAGAATATACCTTGTATCTTCTTATATTAAACAATTTAAAATATATTTTTCTGTCTAAAGAAATATTATTTTTATAAATAACTGCATTAGGAACTGTAGATCAGGCTCGTGGAAAACAGGACAATTTCTGTTGTTTTCAATTTTCAATTGTTTTCAATTTTTGCTGTTTTCTCATGCCTTTAACGACTGCCAAGTTGATGTGATTTGTTTGTTTTAGTTGATATCATGTCGATATCATGTCGATATCATGTCCATGTCGTGCCGATGTCATGTCGATGTCATGTCGATGTTGTGTCGATGTCGTGTCGATGTCATGTCGATGTCATGTCGATGTTGGATCGACGTCATGTCGATGACAGGTCGATGTCATGTCGATGTCATGTCGATGTCATGTCGATGTCATGTCGATGTCATGTCGATGTCATGTCGATGTCATGTCGATGTCATGTCGATGTCATGTCGATGTCATGTCGATGTCATGTCGATGTCATGTCGATGCCATGTCGATG